AAGGGTTGGCTGTTATCTTTGAAGCTCATCAGGGCCAGGATCCCACATATTAAAGGGACTGTGTCTCCCTGCATGACATTTTGTGCCACTTACATTACTCACAGCCAGTGTTCCCTCTAAGCTGAGTCTGTGTGAGCTAGCTCACAGTTTGTTAGCTTTCGGCTCACACATTTTTGTCTTTGCTCAGGAAGGGATGGCTCCAGAGCAAACTAATCTATGCACTAGCCAAATCGCTCACTCACAACTTTAATGCTGGTAGCTCACAAAGTAGAATTTTTGTGCACAAGATTCCACAGCTTAGAGAGAGCATTGCTCACAGCCACTTTAAGGTGGTTTTGGTCCACTTGTGGCCCTTTTGACCTTGAGGCCATTAGAGGCTAGAAGCTTACCTATGCTGCCAGTAAAACAGCTAGATTGAAGTCTGGTACAGGCCCATAGCTACAGTGGGGCACCTTGGGGCTCGGCCCCCTGACTTACTGGCAAGGCCCCCTGACTTCCCATCCAGCCCAGGGCCCCCGAGCGATGGCAGGTGTGGGGAAGAAGCTGGGTATAAATAAATAATTCATTTAGCTGGTGCCCCCTAAGAAATTTAAATGCCCCCCTGACTTAAAACATCCTGACTACGGGCCTGGTCTGGCATAAGCTTGCCAAGTCCCCCCGGGGGGGGGGAACCCCGCCCCAGAGGCCCGTTCCCCGGCGGTGGTGGATTGGGCCCCGGGGGAACCCCACCCCCACGTGCACGTCACCAGGAAGCGACATGACAAAGCCAGGCATGCTGGGGGCGGGGCCACGACTATCCGAGGGAAAACTCTATGGTTTTCCCTCGAACAGTCATGGCCCCGCCCCCAGCGTGCCCGGCGTTGTCACGTCACTTCCTGGTGACGTGCATGCGGTGCGCGCTCAAGCCGCAAGCTGGGAGTCCCCCGCTGCGGCGATTTTTATTTATTTATTTATTTATTTATTTATTTATTTATCTAGCTATCAAATTTATACCCCGCCCTCCCCCGTAGGGCTCAGGGCAGCTTACAAAGGCAAGATAACCTTGCTACAATAAAACATAATATACTTATAGTTTAAAAAACATACTATACATCTTAAAATCCCAATCCCAATTTTTTCACTTGGCAACCCGTCTGGCAGCACGTCACAGACCAACAAGATTTTGGGAGTATGAGCTTTTGAGAGTCAAAACGCCATTCATCAGGACAGTACGTCGGATAGTATCTGATGAAGGGAGCGTTGGCTCTCGAAAGCTCATCGCCTGGAAATCTTGCTGGTCTCTGAGGTGCCCCTGGACTTGAGTCTTGCTGTTCTCCTGGAGACTCATACTGCGACACAGCGTAAAATGGTTTTTTATTTAAGAAGACTGTTTGTTCAGGATGACAGCGACGCTGATTGTTTCAGCCGTTGATGGTGATAGCCACTACTTGTGAGTTTTCAGTTGTTAAAATGTCAAGTGCTTTTACTCTGGTTTGTTTTTTTGTTTCTTAGGATATAATTTATGTGAACCCGCTGTGTTGCCCCCATTTATTAGAGCAGGAGGCAGGGTTACAATTATGTTAATAAACAAATCGACTGACATCCCAGCGCCTCCCAGCTAATCGGATTTGGCGATGTGCTGATATCAGCCCTCTGATTATCCTTGCACGGAACGGCACAAGGAATTCAGCCTGTCAGCCTGTCTTGTCCTACTTTGCTAGTGATTTCACTGATTGCCATGGGACTTGGGTAGCTCTTTCGCCTGCTCTAGCTCTGGTCGCGTCTACTGATGCATAACTAGTTGACAGGTGGGGATTTGAACATGGATGCACATAAGGTTGAAACATGGGGCTTTCCCGCATTCTCATTTTCCTCATTTGTAAGTTTCTGTTTCTTTTGAGGGAGGGGGGAGTCTGTGCTGTATGTGTTTTGCTCCCTCTAGTGGTCAATTCGATATTACACTGGTTTATGTCCAGCATAAAAACCTGCAGTTTAAATCTGCAGGGAGATATGCCAGATATGCCAAAAAGAAAAGAAAACAAACCAAAGAAAAAACCAGGTTGCTTACCTGTAACTGATGATTGTTTGAATGGTCATCTGTGCAGTCACACACACGGGTTTAAGCCTGTGCACAAATTCAACCATGGAGGCTAGCTCTGATATTCTCCAAGACAGGGGTCATTTCGTAGAAAAAGAGGTGCAGGAGTTCATCAGCATAACTTATTTGCATATGCCACACCCCCTGACATCACCAGAAGTGTGTCAAAAGGCAACACCCACCGCTCAGGCTCCACTGGGCTGTTTTGGATTGCTAGCTATTGGGGGGGGGGTGCAGATCTGTCCTCACAGAGCAGGGAGAGCTTGTACCTGAATAAAACTTGGTCTTAAAGGTGCTACTGGACTGTTTTGGACTTGGGGGCCGGGGGGAGCTCTGCAACTTACCTGGATGCTTCTTGCTCTGACTGAGGGCTGCTGGGAGCAGGGGGTGGGGCTTGTTGCATGTGCCCGCCCCCTGGGCTCTTTACTGCCGGAGCTCTGCTCCTGTGCGCTCTTGCACGAAATGACCCCTGCTCCAAGGTCAGGTTCATGCACAGGCTTAAATCCAAGTGTGGGACTGCACAGAGACCATGAAGAAGATCAGGAATTTACAAGAGAGGAAAATGAGAATGCAGAAAAGTCCACGGATGACATCTGCATCCAGATGTGTGCTGCATGACCTTCAAGGGAATGTGCATTTGGGTGTGCATTTTCATTCAGATCTGGATCTCACCTAGGCACCTACATACAACTGAGTGAAGGGAAGGAATCACTCACCTAGTTGACTTTGCAAGCGCAATTTGTTTCCTCTTCTACTTGGAGAAAGGCAATGGCAAACCATCTCTGCTCATCTCTTGCCTGGGTAGCCCTGTAGATGGGGGGGCCGGGTCACCATATGTTGGTTAAGCCAGGACAGCAGGTTCTTCTCGTTCTCCTAATGACCACCCCCTTGCAAAGAGTTTCACAACACTCTGCACAAGGGTGCCAAAAAGGAATATGTATTCCATGGGATACAGACATCTTTTCTAACAATCCCTATTGTAACTCTGAGTTAGTATCTGCTGGAAATGTCATTTTGGCCAAGTATATATATTTGTCTTTCTGAAGCCAAAACATGCAATAGTGGTGCGGATGGCCTCAGTGAGGGAAAGATACAACTTGGAAAGAAAAATACCCCACCTCCAGAGAGGACAAAATGACTACCTAGCAACGAAGGAGGATTCTGGTAACCAAGGAAAAGAACAGAAAGGGGTCCTTTAATGCACACGGAGCTCCCTTGAGTCTCTTTGCCACTCCAACATTTCAATAGCCTGGGAAACTATCCCTGCAGGTAGATGCCTGGGTAATCGAGCTTTCTTCCAATCTTGTTTTTGAGCTCAGCTAAGATGCAGTTCAACAGGGATATATGCAGAGTTCTACATCTTGGTAACAAAAATGTGAAGCACAGGTACTAGATGGGGAATACATTTCTGGGTGTGTGTGTGAACAAGTGTGTGTGTGAACAAGATCTTGGGGTACGGGTGGACTTGAGCTAAATATGAGCAGTCAGTGTGATGCAGCAGCAAAAAAGGCCAATGCAGTCTTGGGGTGTATCAACAAGAGGCATAACATCCAAATCACAAGATGTCATAGCCCCTCTGTACGCTGCATCGGGCAGGCCACACCTGGGGTACTGTGTGCAGTTCTGGAGGCCTCACTTCAAAAAGGATTTGGACAGAATGGAGTGGGTGCAGAAGAAAGCGTTGGGAATGATCAGGGGCCTGGAGACCAAGCCCTACGAGGAAAGGTTGAGGGACTTGGGAACGTTCAGTCTGGAGAAGAGGAGGTTGAGGGAGGACATGGTTGCTCTCTTGAAGTATTTGAAGGGCTGCCACTTAGATGAGAGCAGGGAACTGTTCCTGTGGGCAGCAGAGGAGAGGACTCGCAATAATGGGTTTAAATTAAGGGTGGGAAGGTACCAGCTGGACATCAGGAAAACCTTTTTTTACAGTAAGAGTGGAGTCAACTGCCTAGGTGGGTGGTGAGCTCCCCCTCACTGGCAGTCTGGACAAACCCTTGTCAGGGGTGCTCTAGGTTGATACGGCTCTGAGCCAGGGGGGTTGTCTTAGATGGCCTGTGTAGCTCCTTCCAACTCTGTGATTCTATGAATCCTCTCCTTGCTGGTTTATTCAGAACAGCCAGCTGAGCACAGAGAGACTGGAGCCATCACGGATTCTGAGGTTTAATACAGGTCGTTAGATGATACAGTAACAAACACCACATGCCTAACTGGCCCCACAGCCTGAGATACAAGGAGGAATCATAAAACATATTAAGTATTTAGCACCACTGAGTTTGAACAAAGGTCAGTGTCGAGGGCTGAGGGCGGGGGCAGCACAGAGGGGGTTGGCCTGTGTCCGGTCTCCACTCTCAGGACTTTGGGCAAGGAGAGGCCCGTTAAGGCGTACAGGTTCTTGGAGTGGTGGGGACTGATCTGAACCTTACTTATCTTTCCTCTGCAAAGAGGGCATTCAACTACGGGGAAGATGGAACCACCGGCCACATTTTACAGGCACATGTACTGAGCCAGAGAAACAAGGGCTGAGTTCAGACTGGCAGTTTGAAGCAGGAGGGAGTCGTGGCAAAAAAAGACCAGGGACAAACTGTTCCGGGTTTTCCCGGTCATACTGCACCGACTGATGCGGGAGCATACCGGGGAGGAGGTGCAAGGGAGCGTTCACACTGTTGGCCTGGAGGCGTGGCTGTAAGCAGCTTTTTCTGGCAATCCGGTTATATGCGCTCATGCGCATAAGCACATCCCTACTGGATCACGGCTTTTCGCGTTCACACTTCCAGGAAGCAGGATGGATGTGGGATAATTGCGCTTTCCAGGGTTGGATACCACTTTCCCTTGGTATCCTTTAAACTCAGGAGGGAAGTGTTACTAGACGGGTTGAGTATGGCTGGGGAACGCCCGACAGATGTGCCTGTGTGAACGGCCCCTTTAATCCGTTTGTGAAACATTTCGGGCTCGTGCCTATATTGGGGCAAACTGCCAGTCTGAGCTCGGCCGAGGTCTGGAAAAGAAGAACCCAGAATCCTCCATGGTCCACCTGGGATGGACGGAATGACAGGTGAGGAGCTAGAAGACCAGGGCACCCTGTTCCTTGTCACTGCGTGGTGGTGACGGTCGCAGGTTCATAGCCGGGATATTTTTTTTTGGGGGGGGTAGACTTAACTTCTTCCCAGCTCCCCTGACTTTGTCCCACTTTACATGGTTAACCACCAAGCACGTGGGCAGAAGCAGACAACAGTGAACTCCGGTTAAAATGGGAATGAAGACTCTGAGTAGAGCATCTGGGCCACTCTTGGTGGAGATGACCCTTTCTCCATCCCGCTACCGATAAGATGCCTCAGAAAGATCTGTACTATTAGATAATACTATAATACTTGGATACGATGCCATACCAGAGCAGGCATTATTCAACTGAGCTGAATTCAGTCGGACCAGCATGGAGATTCTGGGTTCTCCTACCATTCAGTCCTTGAACCTTGGCCATCGTTTTAATCAGACTCCAAGTCTCCACTGGTGGCTTGCGCCACTCGGCCGTTTCCCACACCCAATCCCTATGCCCATGTCCGTTTGTGGAGATGGCTGTGCCGGTAGGTTGGTCCTGAGTTCCCAAAACGCACCTGGCAAGACCGGGATGCCCCTGTGCCCTTAACTGGAGGAGGTCAGAAGTGTGGGATGTGGTCTCCCTTGCACCATCCCTGCAGAGGGGCCAGTTCCAGGCAGTCAGTCCAGTGCTTCACTAAGGCATTGTCGTAGCACCATTTGCTGGGGCTGCAGAGCGGGGAAGGGGGCCCTGGCTCAGTCTGGGCCCTGCGATGCTCCCCCAGGAGTCTTGGCCCAGGACCTTGGCCGCATAAATAGGAGGCTGTCGTCGGGTTAAATGCAACGGCAGGTCTCGGCAGGGCCGGCTCCTCTGCTGCGCTCCTCTCCCCCATTGCAGGGAGAGGGGGGGATTCTAGCTCTCCCTTCCCCCGGGAGGGGCCCACAGTCTAGAGGGGAGCTGTCCGTCTTTCGAAGGGCTCAGCCACCGAAGCAGACGGGCCCCAGCTCAAAGCCAAACTTCTGGTTGGTGTCCCCAAAATCCTGAACGGCCACGTCGATCAAGGGCAGCTGCTCCATGCGTGGCGTCGCGATCTGCAGGACTGTCCGCTCCTGGCCCTTGCGTGCCTGCAGGTAGACAAGACCGTGATACAGGGGCATGGCGACAGTATTTGGAAGTAAGGGGAGGAATGGGCTGAGGGAGAGAGGCTGTGTGGCAGAGAGCACTGAAAGAAGGACAGATTTATTTCCCAGAAGAAGAAGAAGAGATGGGATTTATACCCTGCCCTTCACTACCCAAAGGAGTTGCAGAGTGGCTTACAATCTCCTTTCCCTTCCCCTCCCCACAACAGACACACTGTGAGCTAGGTGGGGCAGAGAGCGCTTTTGAGAACTGCTTTTGAGAGAACAGCTCTGAAATAACTTGTGACTGACCCAAGGTCACACCAGCAGCTGCATGTGAAGGAGTGAGGAATCAAACCCGGTTCTCCCAGATTAGAGTTTGCACTCTTAGCCACTGCACCAAACTGGCTCCATTTTGTCGAGTGCAGTGAAAGCAGGTTCAAGGGATGACGTGGCTGTCCAAAGGCAGCACAACCCACGACAGAGGTAGTCAGAAAGCATGAGATCCTTAGGCATGGCAAAGTGTGAGCTGGGGGGGGGGAATGGTTTCAAGATCACAGAGGTATGAGCAAATCAGCTGGGTGGCACAGGGTTGCACTTAAGGGATCACTTAAAAGCCTCCCTTACCGGGGGATGCACTTGTATATTTATACCTTGCTTCCCTCCCAAAAAAGCAGCTTACAACAATGTTCTTCCCCTCCCCTTTACTTTATCCTCACAACAATCCTGTAAAGTAGCTTAGGGTGAGAGGGAGCAACTGACCCAAGGTCACCCAGTGAGCTTCCAGGGCAAGGTAACTGGGTCTCCCAGATTCTACTCCAACATGAGTCCTGTTCACGTTACAGTGAATGCACATACAATGTACGGCTGATTGTTCTTCATATACACACTGAGTAATTCTCACATTACTTTAGTGCATCTGCAGCTGAACATGTGATTGAAACCTCACATTTACTTAGGTACTGGTCCCCAGGTTCATATGTAAAGGAGATGTGCATTGGCTCTTTCTTACAAACAGGTGTACACACACACATGCAGGCTGTATGTATTGTGAACAGGACTGCTCTAACCACTACATCACTCTGGCATCTCAGGGGCAAATTGCACATTACGTCTACCACATGATCACCCCAGGGACTTGCAGCAGGACAGCATCCGTGAGTTGAGCTCACTCCGTCTTGCGTCACCCGGGTCTTGAACTGCTGAACTACTGACCTTCCACAGCCTGCAGTTCAGCGTCTTAACCACTTGAGCCACCGCAGCTCCCTTTAGAAGTGCTACAGGGGCTCAATTTGGATGGGGGCCACAGAGCAAGGGGAGGAAGGGCTCCTGCCTTCCCCACATGTCATTTCCCCAAACTGAAACAGTACCAGCGGGTGTTACTTGAAAGGAAAAGGCAGGAACTGCAAAAGGGTTAAGGGGTGGTGAGCAGTATAAAAGTGTTGGAAGACACCTATTGCTCTGGGGGCCACACAACACTGAAGACAACAGCACAGGTTCTAGACCTGAAGGAAAAGGCAGGAAAGCTTAGAGGGAACATTGGTGGTGAGCAGAATAAAAGTGTTGGAAGACACCTATTGCTCTGGGGGCCACACAACACTGAAGACAACAGCACAGGTTCTAGACCTGGAAGGGACCAGATAGCCATCATCTCGTTGCATGATGTTAGGGATCCTAGCATGGGGTAATAATGGGAAATAGGTAGAGTGTACTTGCTAGGGCTGAAGAGAACTTGTTACAAAGCCAAGGGCATTAGAGGGAGGTTTTTACTGGACAGGAGCAGTCACCGCGAACGGTTTCAGATACGTTTAAGTATCCTGATATGATGCTATTTAATCTAAACAAGGGCTATGTCTGATGGAGCTTGTATGTTAACTTCTGAATCTGTCCACTTGCTCATGTCGCTACAAAGGTTTTTAGATCCCAATAGCTTGTGTTGTTCTTCATGGCAGATAGTTCCTTTTAAAAGAACCTGGTGAAAGGTTCCTTGTTAACCTCCCCCACCTACCGCCTGCTTACAAAGGGATGAATTTGGAAGTGATTTGTTCTGAAATGGAGGCTTTGCAATAAGCTCAAGTCAAGTTGATGCCGCATATTCAGGAGTGCGGCTTAAAGGGAAGCTCTGAGGGGGTGGCAGGGAAAGCGAAGTAGAGGTCGGTGGTAGGGGCAGTGAAGTGGCCGATCTGCATGGGGTGCTGCCAAACTCCCTTTCACTGCACATTTCTCCTCTTTCTCTCCTCTGAAATACCTCTTTCACTAAATTAGCTGTAGGACCTGACCTCAGAGCCTCCAGGTGAAGGGGTTCTAGGAGCAAAGTCCATTTTGGGAAAGGGGGACGATAAACTCCTCTAACTTGGGCAAGATGGGCAGGCTATTAGGACTGGTAGGGAATGAGAGGACTGGGAAGTCTAGGTTGAGGGCTGGGGTCAGAGGCATACCCTCTCTGCCCACTGCTATAGTAAAGGTTCCAGGGGACTGTGTGCACCTGCCTGTCGACCTTACTGTACTGTCAAAAAAAGCCAGAGAAGGGGGTCACAGTGTACAGATACATGCCAACAGACCAAAAACCACTGTGGCAAAATTAACAATGACACATTTAACAATTCTATGAGTATCAGTTTGTGAAGCTATTAATCTTACAATATGGGAAAAAATTCAGGCATAGGCAAAGCAAAGTCCAACATAATCATATCCTCGATGAGCACACTGGTTTTTACGCTCATTTCACCAATCTTCCTCATGGGTAAGGAGTCTTATAAAGTTGGAAGGTGTCAACCTCTTGATTCAGCTTAGTTTCTTTTTTAAAACGGTATAGCTTCTTATTTGTTTTCTTCTTAGTCTTTTTTTTTTAAAAAAAACAACAACATTATAGTATCATTTAACTACTGGGGATATTGACACACTAGTTAAATGATACTATAATGTTGTTTTTTCAAAGCATATTTAAAATTGCATTTAAGAGTATATGTATAAATCAATAGTCTTCTATTCTCTTCTATTCTAAAATCAATATTATACAGGAGTTTACTTTTTAGTGTTTATGGTCTACACCTTTAAGAGAGAAGTATAACAACATGCAGCTGTTTGGAATCTATCAGTAAGTTCCTTGAGTTGCAGAGGTCATTTCGGGGGGATCGCGAGGGATCGCAGTTCCCCCAGGTAAGGTACGGGGGGCGGGGCACATGACAAAGCCCCACCCCCTGCTTCCAGCCGCCCCGCTTCCGGCCCTCATTCAGCCAGGAGGAGGCAGGAGAAGAGGGAGGGTAAGTTGCTTCCCCCCTGCCTCTCCCCACCCCTGCCTGCCTGGGGCCAGTGAGGGCCTTCGTGGGGCTTCCTTGCACTCCCGCCGGCCTTGCAGGTCCACCGCCGGGCCCCTCATGGGGCTCGGCAGTGGAGCTGCAAGGCCGGCG